GTTTCTAGTGGTTTTGCCTGAGATCCCATTCATTCATTAGTTGTCATGGTTCCTGATTAGTTCACACCTGTTCCCTGTTCCGTTGAACTGTTAACCTGCAACCTGCAACTGTTATCTTTCCTTGTATAATTAAGCGCTCAATTTCACTCAATTTGTAGCCTGGTTAAAACCAGACCATTCTCAGTTGTAACTGAGTTATGGTCTGCCAAAGCGTCATAGACAAATCATTTCCAGAGGGGCGTCACCAACGGACGTCGCGGATAGACCTAAACCCAATCAGAGCGATGAAGGAGATGACGTATGCAGAGCGGCGGAGAAACATCTCCGAGTGTTGTTCTTTGCTCGGTTTTTAACAAAAAGGAAACGTTCAAATCGCTTAAAACAGACGCGATAGCTGATGCGAACGAGTGATGTTCGACGGCGGCATCCATCTTTGTAATGTAGGCTACAAAATCTGCTTCAAAATCCCAGCGCTGTCGTCATCGTGTAAAGCCCGCCCCAACGTTTCTGATTGGTGCCTTGATTTCAACGGATTGGAAATGGGCTTGAATGAGCTCTTTGTCAGACTAACTTTCAGAGCAAATCTAAATTTGCCGGAAGTTGTCTGGGTTTTCCCAGGCTACTCAATTTGGTAAGTTGGGACAACATTTGGACAATTTTTGGACAAAAACTTGAGAATCTGAGGGTACGTTTACACGACAATGATATGCTTAAAACGGAGACGTTTTTCCCTCGAGTTTTCCTGCGTACAGAGACATTGTCAAAACGATCCCCATTCACACGAATTCGCAAAAATGACTAAAAACGCTGTATTCTGCTGCCAGGCCATTAGATGGCGATGAAACACTATAGACTGAACACGTAATACGCATGTGCATGATGTCATCGTCTTCAGAGATTCACGTTTGTGTTGTTTACACAGAGACCGTTTTTCAAAAACTTGCACTTTGAAACCCGTTTTCAAAACTTTGCGTTTTCAGGCACCCGAAATGTTGTTGTCGTGTAAAAGAATGGCCAAAACGCATAAAAAGTTTTACATTTTTAGTTGAAAACGGTGTCGTGTAAACAGACCCTTAGTTTCTAGTGGTTTTGCCTGAGATCCCATTCATTCATTAGTTGTCATGGTTACTGATTAGTTCACACCTGTTCCCTGTTCCGTTGATTATCTTTCCTTGTGTAATTAAGCCCTCAATTTCCTCAGTCCAGATAACTCAATTTGGTAAGTTGGAACAAAATTTGGAAACTTTTCGGGCAAAAACTTAAGAATCTAAGCAAGGTCAACAAAACAACTTTTGTTAGCAACATGTCTTGCGTTTATGTTTATGGTGGTTGTGTTTTCCTGATCGTTTATTTGTCACTCATCATCTTTTTATGTAAGCATTTTGATTATGATATTATTAAGTTATATACTATTTCGTCAAAACAAATAAAAAATAAAGCACTAAAACTAAACCCCAAAGAATATTTAAATTGCACATTACATTTTCATATATTTGGAGTCAACTTAAAGGGATACTCCACCCAAAAATGAAAATTCTGTCATTTACTCACCCTCAAGTTGTTGCAAACCTGTATGAGTTTCTTTCTTCTGCTGAACACAAATGAAGAAATTTTGAAGAACGATGGGAACTTTGGCACCATTGACTTCCATAGTATTTTTTTTTTTCTACTATGGAAGTCAACGGTGCCAAACAACTGTTTGGTTCCAATCGTTCTTCAAAATATCTTCCTTTGTGTTCAGCAGAAGAAAGAAACTCATACAGGTTTGCAACAACTTGAGGTTGAGTAAATGACAGAATTTTCATTTTTGGGTGGAGTATCCCTTTAATGTGATGCATATTTATAAGTCATACATGAATGAAATGGGTATGAAACAGATAAGAGTTCTGTAATAGTACTAATAAACGGAATGTGTTTTAAATACACAATCATTACATATTTATCATAAATAAAACTGATTTATTTCAATCTCATGCATTTTAACTTAATAAATACTGCTGGTTTCACAGATAGCTGTTTATACTTTTAAACTGAATAAATTGAATTTTCACAACGAACAGATTTATGCTGAATCTAAGCAATTTTTAATCAAATTCACTTCATTTCAGAATCACAAACGGCAGTTGCGCAGTAATGCTAATGTAATGCGGTCACAGGTGTGTGTCGAGTAATTTACAACGGCTTCAACCAATCAGAATCAAGAACCGGAACTATCTGTTTTATAAGTGTTATTAAATTATTAGGTAACACTTTATCAATGGTCCACTTTAGATATTTCACTAACTATAAGTAACTTTCCAACTACATGTCAACTAACTCTCGTGTTAGACACTAGGGTTCGGGTTAGTAGAATAAGTTGATATGTAGTTGCAAAGTTACTTATGGTCAGTAGAATGTCTAAAGTGCGCTATTAAATGAAAAAACCTGTATGACCTGCATTTCTTTCCTCCGTGGAGCACTAAAAGAGATTCTAGTCAAACTGAGTAGTTTGGTACTATATTGATTATTGTCAATGTTAAAGACTTTTAGTCGAAATTGGATGTTTATAGGCTACATTTTATTTAATCGTGCCTCACTTCATGAGGGTGTGTAAATCATTTTTGGGTGAACTTTCCCTTTAAGACACATTTGATAGTGTTACATATAAGCTTCCTTATTTGAAAAGTACCATTTGAACGTACAAACAAATTGCACAGAAAAATTGAAATAGAAAGTGTCTAATCAGTGTCTCTTCATGGTGCAGTCTCCTATTATGAAGTCCTGTGTCAGTCTCCTGTCCTGAAAGAGCGGTCTCTGAATGGACACAGTGGACACTATTTGTTCCGACTGACCCTCCCTATTCATGTCCAGCACAATGTTGGGACAGAGCGACAGCTATAGCACGGGTTCTGCGATAAGAATCAGCACTGCCTACAACTTACAACGATCCACACACATCCTCAGTTTAATATAGGCAGAATGTTCATCTAGTCCACCATGTGTTTTTAAGGTGCACTTTCTGGTCATTAAAACTGTCTGAAAGAGGGGGGAAAGAGAGAGTGGGGGAAGTCAAGAGGAAATTTAGGGAAGGAAGCGAGAGCGAACAGCTGATCGGAATGCCTGGGAAATCTCTGCTTTCCTGTGCAAGGCAGTCTCCACCTATAACACCGCTCACGCTGGCGAGAAAGCCCTCTTGAATGTTAGATGAGGCCATTTGTGTCAGAATGTTATAAGCTACTTGTGTTCAAACAGTTGTTTATTGTCAACAGATTTATGTGGCCTGATTAACAGTAAAATACGGTCATTTTAGAGGCATGTGACTTACTGTAATTAGGCTCTTTAGAGAAAATAATGTGCTTGGCTATGGCCACTTTGGCATTGCTTGGAATAGCACACTACAATACTACTCTTGCATCAATGACAACCAGCTCAACCACTTTAATCCAACTCACAAACAAATGACGATCCTTTTAATTATTCACACACAAAAGAAAATCTGACTAATGATTCAATGATTCTTTCTCACAATTCTGAGTTTACGTCTCGCAATTCAGACTTTTTTTTAAACTCATAACTTCAGAATTTAACTTCAGAAATCTGTCTAAAAAATTATTGGGGGGAAAATGTTGGTAACGCTTCGTTTTACAGTACAGTACTTACCTAGAAAGTACTGGCTAATATACGGTAAGTACATGGGTTACGGGTAGGTTCAGGATTAGTACCTAGTTATTACCCAGTAATTGTAATTACTATAATAAGTACATAGTATGTACATGGGTAACAGGACTGTAAAAGGAAGCGTTACCAAAAAAAAATTTAATTTCGAAATGTAAACACAATTCTGAGGGAAAAAGTCAGAATCGCGAGATATAAACTGCTGCCGAATTACATTAAAAATATTTATATGGCAGTTTTTCCCCATGGTATATAGGGGCTTTCACACCGGGTAGATCTAGGAGCTCAGGGCCATTTTCCTGGTTGTATTCGCACCGCCAGTAGGAACTCTGAAGTGATGTAAGCCGCACTTGTTATTGTGACTTTTATTTTGACCGCATGGGGGACTTATATTTTGACGGCGCTGAGAAGAGAACGCCAGAGCCTGAGCACAGCGCTCACATTCTCCATTAGTTTATGATCTGTTTAACAGTCTTGTCAAATACATTATTAGATATAGGCTACTGTCTACTTTCTTTGTATAACAGTTCTATGAGAAAGTATTAAGTCAAGTCAAGTCAACTTTATTTATATAGCGCTTTTAACAATATGGACTGTTTCAAAGCAGCTTTACAGTGATAATAGGAAATTACAGTAACAGAGATTGTTTTGGCTTTACAGCAGCTCTAGAATAAAGTAATTGTCCAGCTAAAGTTAGTTTTGATTGATTCACTTCAGTTGCAAAGATATTAGCGTATGCCGTGTGGTTTATGTCCAATCTCGCTAACTGAGCAGAAATTCATAATCATGTTTCGCTTGGTCCAAAGTTGTGTTGGATTTTCTCTTCATGGTTGAGAGGTCCATCTATCACTGTTTTCCATGTTCGTAGAGTAAATATATCTATGCTATAATCTGAGTGTTGACACTGACTTTTTAAAAATGGCGGGTGCTGGTGTTTCGCGTGCGTTCGGCCAATCAGCGTACACTAACGTCACGGATTGTTCCTATAGAGCTGGGTTAGACTCTACTCTGAAGTAGGAGATAATTAGTTCCTCTAAAAGGAGTTCCTAGAACTAAAATCGTTCCTAGTTCCTGCGGTGCGAACACGCCAAAAACGGGAACTTCTGCCAATAGTTCTAAGAACTATGAAAAGCCCCTTATGTCAAAATTGTGGCCAGTGAAAATGCTGAGTGGCTAGTAACTTTGGAAAACCACTAGCCACAGTGTCTGCTGAGCAAAAAAGTGAATGTCAAGCCCTATATATATATCATTATATACCATTTCTCTGAGAAATCTAATTGGATGTGTGGCAGGAAGACTGCATCTGATTGGACGGGAGTGAGCTGTTGGGCAGAAAAAGTACTGACCAATGCACAGAGGAGATCCACAGCCTCCAGAATCAGCTCCTGATGTCCGACACGGGTCACCGCCAGCTCCTCCAGATCCTGATGCGAAATCTTCAGAAGCTGCTCTCCATTGATCTTCTCTCTCTCGAAGTTAGAAACATACTGCTGGAGACTGTCGTCCAGCCCTGAGAGACAGACAGAAAGTGAGAATGAGGAAGACAGAACACAAAGACACTCTTTCAGGGAGTGAGCGTGGATCCGCATGTGTTTTGACACCACAAGTGTCTGTGCAAACATTGAGACGTTGTGTCAATATAAGACATTTGCACTAGTCTGAGTGTTTCTCATGTAACAGTGCTAGTTAGCTGATCTGAGATCAGATCATTGTGATATAGGAGTAAAGGAATAAAGAAAGATCACACTGTCCTGTGGTTTATATGTGAGTGAACTCCATGTGTGTGAGAAAATGCAGCCATGCTGGCGTTACTTCCACAAACACACAATCGGCACATGAGTTGTGTCTGACAGACGGCACAGCATGTTGCTGAAAAACTCGTCTCTTGGCAACTTTGCCAGTGATTTCCCAGAGAAAATGATGTCAATTTAACCCTTTCATATGATCTCATTTACAGCTGAAATGAGAAGAAAAACTATAAATATAAGGGTTGGCATAAATGGGTGAATATCACAAACATGTCAAAGACCGAGTCGGGGCCATATTTCACCTCAAAGTCAAAAAAGAATAAGAAATTACATTTTATATTAATAATAATAAAAAAATATATATAAGATAATAATAATAATAATAATTAAATAAAACATAAATAAAACATATATAATAATATAACATTTTATAAACAATTTTATAACAATAAAATATTATAAAATGATATAAAAAATATATTATAAAATATAAAAATCATATTTATAATGTACGGTAATGCAAAAAATAAGATTTATATTGTAAAGTGTTCATCATTGTGTATGTTATATGCTGATTTCAAGTAAATATAGTATATTGTATTACAGTGACAGTAACAATTTTGAGCAATGATTCTAATGAATCATTGCTCAAAATTGTTAGAATTACAAAAAAATACAAAAATACGCAACAAATGGAGCCCACTGACCTGTGTGTAAATTACATAATACGGAATTTTCTTACCAAATGAGTAATTAATGCTTGAAATTCCACCATCATGTTTAATTAAACAGTGACTTTAATCAAATTAATCGCCATATGATGTAATTAATTTGATTCAAGTTTGATTGACTGCTCTAGTCACAAAGCAAAATTATCCTTAAAATACACTGCAAAAAATTGTTTCTTTGTTGAAAATAAAGATTATTGAAATACGTTTTACAAGATAATACTATTTCAGTCTTTCAACTTCAAAATTTCATGTGTAATTCAGTGCGTCACTTGCAGTTTCTTTGTAGTCGTTTGTTTTATAGCAATTTCTGAATGAAAAATCATTTCGAAATAAATCCTACACCTTTTTTTTTTTTGCAGCTTAGGCTTCATTACAACTTAGGCTTTATTTCATTTTATGCATATTTTTTACATATTCTTTTAGGCACAATTTAGATTAGGGTCCCAATTCTCACAATTAACTAACATAGACTTAACTACAACTTTTGCCTCAATAAACTCCTAATTACTGCTTATTAATAGTTAGTAAGGTCGTTAAGTTTAGGTATTGGGTTGGATTACAACGTACAACGACGTGCAACCTAGAAGCTTTCCGCAGATTCACTACGTGAAATATCACGGCCGAACAGAGAAGGAAATGATTAGTTGAATAAAGTCGTTTTTTTTTTTTTTTTTTTTTGCGCACAAAAAGTATTCTCGTCGCTTGATAAACTTAAGGTTGAGCCACTGTAGTCACTCGGACTATTTTAACGATGTCTTTCATAACTTTTGGGCCAGCCAGTTTCGATCCCTTAAGAAGCCTATGGAGGAGTGATCCAGCTCTCAGATTTAATCAAAAATATCTTAATTTGTGTTCCGAAGATGAACGAAAGTCTTACGGGGTTGGAACAACATGAGGGTGAGTAATTACTGACAGAATTTTCATTTTTTGGGTGAACTAACCCTTTAAGGGATGTAGGATATGGTCATTAATTGCTTTATGGGTACTAATAACAGCCAATATCCTAGTAATATGCATGCTAATAAGCAACTAGTTTATAGTGAGAATTGGACCCTAAACTAAAGTGTTACCATTCTTTCTATCTTGGAAAGAAATGACCTGGACATTGAAGGGTTGGTCAAAATCCCTTGCCTCTTCAAATACATATATAATCATATATCATTTTGAATGGTTATATACTTCCTTTATAAAAATCAATAATCAAATATATTCATTATCACATAATAATTTTTATATTCTTGTGCTTGTGAAATTATATTTTCTTAAATGCATGGATGCAAGTAACCAGTTTCTTTTAGGTGCATTCCAATCTTACTTTGAGATTGCACGTAGTACACGCAGGACACGAAGGCCACGTAACCCACAAGGCCGTTTGTCTCTTTCTCTGGGATCAGTAGAAAGGTTAGAGGGTCCTAAAGGCAGCGTGGGCACATATGATTCTTCGCTGGACATATGGTCAAGCTATATTGAGCGTTACTATCAAACTTTAATTGTTGTATTAAAATGTATTCTTTCCAGTATATTTCCTTCCTTGGGAGTAAATGCCAGTGATCTGTTTTTCTCCCAAACGAGTGAATGTTTTAGCATTATGTTTTGGTATACTTAACTGATAATAAGGAGCTCAGACTCTCTTCAGCCTTGATGGGAGCTGTTATTTGCTAGTGTCTGTTATTTGTGTGTGTGTGCGTATGACATTCTATGTAGGTTCTGGACGTTCGGACCAGACACCCCGGCGCCCTTCTCTAACCTGCGAGGCCACCACAGACCTAAATCTAATGAGTGGACGACAACTATCTTGACTAATGGCGATAGGCACCCCTATCTCCTCACATGTGTTAAATTGTTTAGGCTCTTAATGTTTCTTAGCCAATGAGAATCATTCAACCTGTAAGCAATGACGTAGCTTAGACCTTGGAAATGGTATAACTGCTGTGATCTTTGTAACTGTAAGGGGGGGCGGCCTACGAACTCCTGTGTGAGTCTTGAAGCTGACTTCTGCTGATGAAAATGCAAACTATCTTCAGTAAAACTTTTCTTTAATTTTTTATAATTCTGACTCCGGGTCTTCATTCTTCATATCTGGTTCTGGGTCTTTGACTGTACACCCCTTACAGTTATGGTGGAGGATGCGCTGGCAATTATTCTCGGTGACACCCCTGGCAAATCAACAAACAAGGTAGTAAACTTTTATTAATTGTTAGGGCTGTCTGACTGGAAGAGATTTTGAAGGAGAGCGGGAGAGCTTCACTCCGATGAGGCGAGTGAAGCTTCACTCCGATGAGGCGAGTGAAGGAGTAAGTTAATTATACTGCTGACAGTATAAGAAGTCGCTGAGAGCGTCGTTAAGGGTAACGGCAGCAGACAGCGCAAGCGAAGCGTGCTCTGTGGGGGCCCCGCTGGGCATTACTGGTGTAGCACCACCCCAGCAGAGCACGTCCCTGGGCTAGAGGTCCAGTGGCACCGTAAACCTGCTCAATCTCTTCCATCTCAGATAGTGGATCCCCGGAACTTAGTGAAGTGAATCAGGCAGTTAGGGATACTAACAATAATAGGGTTGTTTGCCAGGGATGCATCAGGAACAATTCCGAGAGAAAAATTAAAAAAGTTGTGACCCAAATTGGCATGGACCAGTATATGTAACTGTGATTTTGGAGTATACTTTGCAGTTTCATCACACAGAAGCCAAGCTGTGTTGTGCAAAGATCGCCGCCTCCATTTCTGCAATAACTTCAGGTGAGTATGAACTATGATTAAGATATGAAAAAAAAAAGTAAAAAAAAAAAATGTAATAACTTAATCAGTAACCTGAAGAGTCCTGAAACAAATAGTGAGTCAGGAAAAGCAAACGCTGTAAGCAGCTGTGCTCTAAAGCCCTCACTTTAAATAAATTTGCAGAAATGATTAAGTAAATGGTAGTCAGGATTTTGATTCTGATTGGAAATTTAAACAACTTGACTGGCTACAAACAAACAAAGAAACAGAAAAATTTAAATGTTTAGCCTCGTATTGCTTACGATGATTACAAGAAGCAAGGGAAAGAAATTCTGGGTCTGGGATAATTTCCCTGGACAAGCGACTAAAGTTAAACATAAACTTTGTGAAAACAACTTAGAATATTTTGAGCATTTCGATGCAGCTTATGAAAATGGATGTTCTGCCAATAATAATGATGAAGATTATGATTGGGCTATTATGATTAAATCCGCCACTGGTGGACTGTAAAAGAATACAGAGAACTGCTTAATCAGTGGCTCTGTTTACATTCCTGAATGGGACACACACTGCTTCAAGGGCGTGTATTAAGTTGGAGCCGTTGAGGCTGACACATGAACCCTTTTGAAGAAAAGATCTATAATACTAATTTTTATAAGTGAATTGATGAATACAGGTTGATGTAAAATGAATGACTCCAACAAATGTGAGTTGCAGAATATATCAAAGTAACTAAAAGGATGATTGTGTTGCAATTAAAATTTTTAAAAAGATTTTAGATGATATAGAGAGACTAATCTCACAGATGATTTACAATAACTGCAAAAGTATCACAAGCAGAAAGTGCTTGCCTCGTCAAACTTAGTGTGTGAATCCTAATTGGAGATTGATAAACTCCAAGAGAAATCTTAAGTCAAATATTAAACTATGGTTGAGAACTTGACAATTAAAATTGAGATTGAGAAATGTGAAACGTTATTGAGAACTAGAATAATTATTTTTATGTAAGAACAAATAAGCAGAAGCAGTACTGGATTAACAGTTGCTAAATGCTGATTAAACAAACAGCTTGAAAAGTTGACCATGAAAGAACTAGAAGCTGATGTTTTGCTTTCAAAAGATAAGTTTGTTATTGGCTGTAATGAAACAGTTTGCTTATCTGAATCTGATGTGTGCTGTGGCTGAAACTGCCAGTGCAACAGACTCAATCTGAGTGGAAATTTGTAATGCCTAAATTTCCTGATGTGTGGGCAAAAGACAAATATAAATAATATGTTTATTTGAAACCGTATGTAATATCTGGCAAAGATGCCTTAAGC